TTTAAAGACATTGGTGAAAGTTCCAAAAATATCAGTAGAAGCACCTGCATACATGTGATCCTGATGGATCAAAAATATAAAGTGTTTAAAACCAAATATGCATTACCACCTGTCAAAAAGAGTCTCTGGGGGGGGGGCTAACATCCCCCATATTCTTCACCAGCTTCCCCTGTTTTGGAGTGGACAATTAACGTTTCCTGAGTCTTTTGCAAACTGCCCTATAAATACAACTTCAGTGCCCCATCCCAACTCCAGAGTCCTGCTATAGAGGCACCTACCTTGAAACTGACATTGACCAGTTTCTGCTCTCAGTTTGGCTGTAACTTGCCATTTAATCCTAGCTAGTCTTGACTTTTCTGAGGGTAAGTCTTCATCTTTACAATGAGGAATTCGATTTTGACCTTTGAGATTGCTCCACGCTCTGTGAGTCTTAACGTATTACAGTTGTAAGACATTACAACACTTCTCACCTCTGATATCCAGGAATAATTGTTTCAGTTAGCTCTATGCTAAGACCGTGTCACCTAATTTTGGAAAGAAACAGTCAAAGATCACACAGAAAAAAACAGATTCTGTCATAGATAAAGGGCTATGCCAACTACATGATCTGTTTTTTTGGGAGGGGCCGTGTCCAAAGTCATTTGCTGAGTTGGTATCAGATAACTTCAAGATTGTGTTAAACCTGTGTGTAGACTTGGTTGTTGTATTCTCAGAAAAATGATTTGCTCTCTGGGATAGCCAGAGAAGAAAGGGTTCCTGTCATCCAACCCTGTCGGAAAGACCGTGCCAAGATAAAAATACACAGGAAGTCAAAATCACCTGGAGAAGTACAAGAAAGAGTGTGGCCGAAGTCCTAATATCATCAGAAATCAGTAAACACCCCCTTTTATGGAAAGCCAACCCAGTGGATAAGTAGACCTAAACTAAATAACCAGTGCTCAAAAACAAACAAAAAACTATTTTTTTTTTAGTCTTGCTTTAGAGCCAATATCTTTTAAACAATTATGTACACGGTATAATGCTTGGCACTGTGGGGAAAAAATTCTAGAAGACAGACTCTGTGCCCTAAAAAGACCTATTCATCTAGCAAGCCGTTATATAAATTTTGTGTAAATTAGAAGGTGCACATTTAAAGGTGCACGTTTGCCAATTCAAGAAACTTTAGTCAACTAAATAGGGTTCAATTTGATTTGGGTCCATTAAGTGATGCTATTTTAGACCACCCAACAACTTGTGTCTACTTTTTCAGCGTCCTCCATGACATGGAGTGGACAACTGATGAGATTTTAACTGACCACTTGCCCCGAGATAGTTGCATTTGTACTCATAGTTCTGAGCAGAATTCATTTGTAAGCGTGAGAAAGTGAGCTTTGATGGTTCCTTTGGGGCACTGAAGCAGCCAAGAATGAAGGCTTAGTAAATGGGATGTGATACACTCAATAGCGTGGTGTAACTCTCAGATAAACTTTTTTTATTTTTTAAATGATAAAAAAAAANCTGGCTGCTGGCTACACACGGTAGCCCATGGCAACCCACTGCAGCAGCACTGCAGCCTACGCCATCGCCGGCGACTCACAGAGCCCAGCTCCAGGTCGAGCTGTTGTTCAGCATCTTAGCTGTAGAGGGCAGTGTCACTGGCCTTCATATGTGGGATCCGAACCGGGGCCCTCTGGCGTCCCAAGCCAGCTCTTAACCATTGTGCCACTTGGCCGGCCCCTTGGAGTTGCCTGTTATTGTATACAGTGAGCTGGTACACAGGACTAGTCAGGAGATGGGAGACAGGAAGTGTACTGTTTCCATATGCTGGACCCTGACTTCACTGAGGACAATCTACAGACACTCTTACTGGGTTTTGTAATATGACCCTCAAACACAAGCCAGTAACTTCCCTGGGGCCAGCCCTAGAGCTATGTGACCCCCAAGCTCTGTTCAAGGAGGAAGCAGTTTGTATGAGGAGTTGAGAGCCAATTGAAGCCATGTGGTCCATTATGCATGCGTTATATATATGTTTTATGTATGATATGTTTATACACACACACAGGACATCCCATACAGGAATATATACATACCTAAAATCAGATATAGCACATCTACTGGCCATGTCAGAGAGTTTTACAGGAAATACGGACTGTTCTCTCATCTCAGAATCTGACTCACAGAAGATGGGATTCTCCGCATAGGTGACCAGACATGCAGATAAGATGTGACTCCCTCAAACCAAATTGATTTTGTAATGGCTTGGGTAATAGAAGTATCAATTTTTATTATAAACAATTTTGAGGTTACAAATAAAGTCCCCTTTAACTACCACAACTTCTCTTAGGTGCTTTCCTTAGAATTAAGCACAGTACTCAGTTTGGGGTCTTTTCCTATAGACCTTGGTGTGAGAATTTCTGGGGAGAAATGTTTTGTTTTAATGTAGACAGTATCCAACTATGTATATTGTTCTGCAGATTGCATTTTTCACTCTTGGAGAGCTATCATGTTAATACATAAAACTTTATCACACTCTTTTTAACTGCTGCATTGTAAGTTTTCCATTACAAGGAACTACTTTATTTAGGAACTTATTTAACCAGAAACCTGTGGTAGACATATAGGTTGTTGCTAATTTGCTGTTGCTGCATCCTTGCCCCTCTCTGCCCCCCCCCCTTTTTTAATGGAGAATTGAAATTGCTGTGTCATAGGAATGTTTTCAATTTAATTTAATCCCTGGAGATTGTGATTCAGTAGCTTTATAACGATGCAAACTCCTGCTCCCCACCTTGGAGATGTTTTTTGTTAAATCTGGAGTGGGGCCCAGGATCTCTGGTTTTACCAAGTATCCTACGTAATTCTAATGTAGGCTAAACAGACTCGTATTTGGGAATCACTTTTCTAGACAACGGTGTTTTATAATATCTTGGGAGAGTGACAAAGTGAGAGTAAATGTTCATAAAACCTTTGAATTAGCTGCTCTGGAAAGTGTATGTTCCTTCCATGAGAGCTGAGTGTCCTAACTCTTTTCTCAGAATACAAAGGTGTAAATTGTAAGACATCAAAGTTGATATGAGGAGGGCCTGTAAATGTGTAAGGTGAATTTTTCTTTCTGGTAATACTGTCCTGCTTTGACATAATTTTCAGTGGAGTTTGCCACAGTAGTGTTTGGGTAACAAAGTGTCCTGAAGATCAACTCACTTCACATTTTTTGTCAGTCAAAAGGAGAGCTTGGCTTATTGCGATTTAAGTCAGTGATGCATCACCCTGTTAACTTATTTTTGGTAGAGAACCTCAAAAAAACATGCATTTACCACATGTGACCATTATGGAGACTCAAAGCTAGCAGTTTTAGAAACAGATGCTTTTCATGTTGTGTAACCTTTTCTGCACGTGGCATTTACTTCCTGGTTCCCCCCAGCTAATCTCAGCATTCCTCAGGATTCCTCAGGACAAGAGGAACATTCAAGGAGACCTGGTATCTGGCTTTAGGTATTGATTGACTGTCTTGTAGAAGACAGATCCCAGGCTGTGTGTATGTGGACCAAATTTGCTTGAAGATGTGTTGAATACAGCCCACACAATGTTTTAAGGTTAAATTAGTTGTACTATTTATTTATTCATTTATTTATTTTTAAACTTTATTGGGGAACAGTGTGTTTTTCCCAGGACCCATCAGCTGCAAGTCAAGTCATTATTTTCAATCCAGTTATGGAGAGCGCAGCTCACTGGCCCATGGGGGGATTGAATAAGCAAACCCGGCGTTAAGAGCCTACGCTCTAACCACCTGAGCTAATTGCTTGCCCTAGTTGTGCCTTTTAAAAAGCGGGATATTTAACATTGAAATCTTGATAATTGATTATTTTGGGGGGAACGAAAGGGAAGCTGTGTGCCACAAAGCAGTTGCACATGTAAGGCTGAGCATAAGCTTCCCAGTTCACCAGTTCTCGTCACCCCCTCATCATCACCCTGGGCAGGGTGGCATTTTCCATTTGCTGTTTTAGTTGCTTCTGTTTACTTGCCTGCCTGTGTTAGTTTGCTAGGACTGTGAAGAAGAGTCTGTGCTATGTCTCTCTCTTAGAATTCTGGTGGTTTGCTGGGCGTTCCTTGACTCGGAGAAGCATCACCGCAGTTCCTGCCTTCATCTTCACATGGCGTTCTCCCTGTGTGTGTCCAAATCTCACTGTATATTTGTCTGTTCAAATTTCCCCTTTCTATAAGATCACTGCTCATATTGCCTTAAGGCCCACCCTAACTAACAACCTCATCTTTACTTGATTACCTCCGTAAAGACCCTGTCTCCAAGTAAGGTCACATGATGAGATACTGGGGATTAGGACTTCAATCTATCTTTTTTGCGGGGGCAGAAGCACAGTTCAATTCATAAAACTGTCCTTGTAGGTGTTTGAATTTTTCATTCCTGCTTGTCCTTCCAGAGGGTAGACATCAGCAAAGGTGTAAATTACAAGGGGACAAATTTGGGTTAGGTATAGGGAAGACCTTTTCCCTGTTTCCTGTTGTACAAGTATGTGGAGATGTGCCTTGAGGCTATAGTGATTGCCCCCCAAATACTCAAGCACAGGTTCAATGCCCTTTACTCAGGACTGATGTAGGCCAGGAGTTGGCAGACATTTTCTGTAAAGGTCCAGATAGTATATATTTTTGGCTTTGTGGGACATAATTAGCTTTGTTGCAACTACTCAACTCTGCCAGTTTAGTGTGAAAACAGCCTGAGACAGTGTGTAAAGAAATGAGTGCGACTGTATTCCAGTAAACTCTGTATAAAAACAGTCAGTGCTGGCAGAGGAGGAACGGGGAGTTATTGTTTAAGGGGGCCAGAGTTTCAGTTTGAAATGTTGAGAGTTCTGGAGATGGATCGTAAAGGTTGCATAACAGTGTGAATGTACTTAATGCCACTGAACTGAACACTTAAAAATGGTTAAAATGGTAAATTTTGTTTTATGTGTGTTCTACTACAAAAAAAAAAANTTTTTTTTTTTTTTTTTTTTTGGGTAAAGTGAAGCCAAACAGTCGCGGTCCCCTCTATCGCCGCGATGTCTCTCCCTTCCCTTCGCTGGTCAGCGCGCTCCGGACGCGACGCGTAGGGACTACCCGGCGGCCGGGGTTTGCGGGCTCCTCCGGGCGAGTCTACATGCGGTGGGATTTGGAGATTGCCGGGAGCCGGCGGGGATAGATCTCCGGAGACTAGAACTAGAGAACGTTCCAGTCCAGTCACCAGGTCCTGTCGGATTTCCTGCGTTGCTCGCCGCCGCGCGCGGCGGGGGACCCCTGAGTCGCTTTGAGAAAGGATACATTTGCGGTTCTCGGCTGTATAGATTCACACTGGGTGTGCAGACAGAAAGGATCCGAAACACAGAAGGTATATCGCTTTAAAAAGTTTTAAAAAAATGCAGTTATATTTGCGTCTTTATGAAAACATTTACACACAGTTATATGGATGCATTTAAAAATACAAGTAATTGTGCCCTGATGGCAAAGGAGTTCTTTCTGGTGGTGATGAAAATATTCCCTATCTTGTTTGGGGGTGGAAGGGACTCAGATGAACTGAGTTGTCAAAACTCGTAGAAACTCAACACTGAAGACCTGTGCATTGATTGTATCGTGTGTGAATTGTCCAATTTAAAAAATCAAAACAATTCTGCACGCATATGAAAAGTTACTGCCATTGCATATTGCATATATAAAAGCAGCTGCAGGTGTGTATTTTAGCAACTAAGCGCAAAGCTGTAGGGTTATATATTTCTGCAAACTCTGAGCAGTCGGGAAAAGGCGGCTGACGTCATTCGGGGCGGGGCCTAAGCCCCAAGAAAAGCCGGTGGCTCCAGAGCAGCAGCCGCCGGCCAACGCAGCCTCACCATGAGCGGCCGCAACACCTCCGATCTCCAAGTTCTCTGCAGCGCCGGTCGGCTGTTCTTGCAGCCCCTGTGGGACCGCCTGAGGACCTGGGAGGCCCTCACCCAGTCGCCCTTCTTCCCGGCCATCTTTTCCATCACCACCTACGTGGGCTTCTGCCTGCCCTTCGTGGCGCTGGACTTCCTGTGCCCCTGGGTGCCCGCGCTGCGGCGCTACAAAATCCACCCCAACTTCTGGCCAACGGCGCGGCAGCTGCTGCCCTGCCTGGGGCAGACGCTCTACCAGCACCTGGTGTTCGTGCTCCCCGTGACGCTGTTCGGCTGGACCCGCGGCCGGGCCCTCCTGCCTTCTGAAGCCCCGGAGCTGCTCCAGCTGGTGTGCCACGTCGTGCTCTGCCTGCTGCTCTTCGACGCCGAGTTCTTCTTGTGGCACGTGTTGCACCACAAGGTGCCCTGGCTGTACAGGACCTTCCACAAGAGGCACCACGAGAACTCGCCCTCGTTCGCGCTCGCCACGCAGTACATGAGCGTCTGGGAGCTGTTTTCCTTGGGTTTCTTTGACATGGTGAACGTGATGCTCCTTGAGTGCCACCCGCTTACTGTCCTGGTCTTCCATGTGTTCAACATCTGGCTGTCGGTGGAGGACCACTCGGGCTATGACTTTCCCTGGTCCACGCACAGACTGGTACCTTTCGGGTGGTACGGGGGCGTGGCCCACCACGACTTGCATCACTCTCAGTTTAACTGCAACTTCGCCCCTTACTTCACACACTGGGACAAACTATTGGGAACTCTGCGGTCTTCTCAAGCCAAGTAACAGGCACCCCTCCCCGCGTGGTGGTGTGGCCGCGGTGGGCAGTGGGTACCGCTCAGACCCAGGACTGTTGTGCCTTTCACACTCGAATCAGGAGAAACACACCAGAGCTTTGTTTGACTTTTATTTTTTTTAGTAAGTAACTTATTACCTAATGGAAATTTATGGATAAAATTTGATGTATTTTTACAACCTGATAAAGTAATTTGTATGGTTTTTGTATTTTTGATGTCGAATTCTAGCTCACTTCAATAGCCTTGATTCCTGGATATAAATTAGATGTTCATCACTGGCATATTTAAATCATCTCTAGAAGGTTTTGTTTGTAGGACAAGTAATATCCTAAAATAACATATTTTTAATGGAGAATCTGATATCTGACTCTATAAACTATGAAGCATGTTCCTGCTGGACAGTAACTAAGATGACTGTATATTTTATATTTTTTCATAGAACTGTATATTTATATTGGCAGAAATGTGATTTGTACTTAAAAAAAAAACCAGAACATAAACGAAACAAGTACTGGCTCCTGTTTCACTGGCATTTTGACTGCAAAAAACTAAAATGGGAAGAGGAAGTTGGGATAACCGGATCAGAGCCTCCATCAGCCCTGCCATGAAAAGAGAGAAATCTGGTGGTGGTGTTTTGGGGTATGGGGGGATAGTAGGAGAGAAGGAGGCAGGAGAAGGGGTCTATTGATTGCTTTGGTCTAGAAATTTCACAAAGAAAAAAAACACTATTCTTTTGTATGTATTTCAGCTGATTTCTGCATAACAGGTAATTGAAAGGGTTACTCTGCAAAGTTTTAGAGGGATTAACACTGAGCAACCATTTGATTATTTGCAGGGAGGGTGGTATTGGGGGATGAATAGAATTTATAAAGTGCCTTGCTTTGTAAAACTGGTGAGTCACATGTGTGCATTAGAGAGACTGATAGAAACGGGTTCTGGGCATTGTCTCCCCTTTCATGAAGCCATTTAGTGTAAAAGGCATCATACACATCACCTCTCCAATCTGGGAATTTTGTCTATTCACTGTTCTTAAGACAAACACGCAAACTGCATAACCCTTTCTCAAAGAAAAAAAAGTAAAATTTGACCCTAGACCCATGGTTTCTCACCTATAAAAGGAGAGTGTGTCTTAGATGTTCTTAAAGATTACTTGTGACAAGAAATGTCCCGAGTACTGACCACACACCTGTTACCCATCATATACCCCCTCCATCTGCTGCCTAATTGTTTCAGTTTTATCTTTGGAACGTAGTTAGATAGGGTGAAGTTAAAAATCAAGACAATTTAGGGCCGGCCGAGTGGTGCGATGTTTAAGAACTGGCTTGGGATGCCAGAGGGCCCCGTTTCAGATCCCACATAGGAGGGCCAGTGACACTGCCCTCCACAGCTAAGATGCTGAACAACAGCTCAACCTGGAGCTGGGCTGCCGGGAGTCGCCTGCGACGGCGTAGGCTACAGCCACTGCTGCAGTGGGTTGCCATGGGCTACCATGTGTGGCCAGCAGCCAGCGTGAGCAGNTATGGTTGGGGGTCACCACAACATGAGGAACTGTATTAAGGGGTTGTGGCATTAGGAAGGTTGAGAACCGCTGGATTAGATGAACCCTAGGCAGACACATTGCTGGTCAATCAGTTTTGAATCTTTCTCAGAAGTCACTACGAATCCATCAAAGTCAGGTGAAGCTCTTTGGGGATGACTCTGGGATGAGTGATCATTAAGGTCATTTCCCACTGTAAAAGTCTGCTGTAAATTTGATTTCCTGCCTCCTTTTGTTCTCTCTTTTAAATACACATCTGTAACACCTGCTTTGGCCTTAGTAAACATACTGCATAGGTATCCTAGTTTGAACACCCACTGGTCACCATTTCTCCCTTTGGCCATCCGTGGAGACACGTGGCACATGTCTCTGTGTCTGAGGTGGGTCCTGGAGGCCTGTGTACCAGTATGAAATGCTGAGATATTCTGGGGTTTCTTTTTATTTTGTAGGACATATTTGGGGTCAAACAGTTTCTTCCCCAGAATGAAGTTTTGAAGTGGCTGGGTAAGCATGTTTGCAGTCATGTCATTCTGAAGGAGCTTTGTGGAAATGCCCTTTTTCTTCTCTGCGGATTTAATGAGAGAAATTTAAATATGGTATGTATGTTTATAATAAGGCTTGCTTCAAACCCTCAGTGGTTGGTTTTGGTTTATCTGTGAATGTGCTCCTTTGTGTTGGAGGCTGTGGGCACGGTAGGAACGAAATCATTAGAGCTCTCACGAGGGACCAGAATCAAGGTCAGCAAGTGGCTGGAATACCATCTGCTGCTGTCCTCAGGCCTGCGTGGCTATTGCCGCATTGTATCCATATGGAAACCACTGACAGAGGAGATCGGTCATAACTTAAGTCTCGACATTTATATTTATTCTAGTGATTTGTGTCTTTAAAAAATTATTATAAATGTGTTTAAATTTGGAATGGCCATTTACACACACACACACACACACACACACACATGTATGTGTATGTGCACCTTTATATATTTATTTTATAAAATGTAAGCCCTTGGACAGCAATATGCTAGTGTTTTTAAACATAGTTGTAGTTTGTAATGTTGCATTGTGAGAACAGGTTTTAGAATTCTGGAATGAATGCTCTAGGGAATTTTTTTTGAAGTGATATTAATTTTTCTTGTTCCTGACACTAAAAGTGAGGTATTCTCGTTATATAAAATTTTGGAAATCCTGGAAAGTATGAAGAAGAAAAGAAAAATGAGCAGTAATCTCAACTCATACAGTCCCATGGTTAGTTACCATGTTGCTGTATGTCCTTCTTTCATATGCATGCTGTGTGTGGTGTGCTTGTGGTGATACATGTTTTTCAAGGACATATATGTAGTTAAAGAATTTTTTTCCTGCTCTTAGTCTCATCTATTTGAGCTTGTGGCTCTGTAGTTTTTAATGCTTTGAAGGGAAAATTTTGTTTGTTATCAGTGCTTTCTTAACACTGTTTTTATTCTTTTTTTCCCCCAACATGTTCATTTTGCAGTCTAGAGTGCCTGTGTATATAACACACTCTCCTGCTGGAACTTCTGTGCAGAATATGATACACTGGAGCCAGGTAGGCATTCCAGGAGTGCATTGGGGATTGTGAAAATCAGAGTTAGAAAGACCCATGCATTCCCACCAAGCACCTCTCTGGGAGCCCTTCCCAAATAGAAAGACAGTCTGCTTACATATCTGAACTGGTGCCTTTCCCCAGGGGTCCTGCATTCTGGTCATTGTGTGTGTGTTGCTTTCGTTATCCTCCCCGGGAAAAGCTGTACTATGTGTGTATTCATCCAACAGCTATTGGGGTTGACTTTTCTTTCTTTCCCCTCCACTCCCCTCTGTCAGTTTTTCATTGAGTCCCAGATTTATTTTGTTTCTGTGTTGCTTCATACAGCAAGATTTTAGAGCAGCTTTGGAGAAAGAAGCAGCTCTTTCAACATTAACCCGTGAACTGAGCAAAATAGGCCTGAAACCTCAGCGGCTAAACCAGAGCTAAACCAATCATGGGTGTAAATGGGAGACACGAACTTTTGAAATAGAGTTTGATTGTTTTATCACATATCACAGAACTAATGCATGTTCGTCTGTTCCGAAAGATTTAGAAATTACACATAGGCAAAAAATAATAAAAATTCTCTTAAGATTAAAAAATAAAAGAGTTCTATAGTCCTACACAGAGATGGAAAACATGTACCCGGAGATACGAAATATTTCTGCCTTCTACCCTATAGCTCTTCCTGCATATCAGTTCAGAATGAAGTTGTTAAAGATACAGATAGAAATAATAGTTTTCGGAATAGATTAGTGTATTTTCTTTGACTTAACTGTTTTGTAACTTGCTTTTTATTTACCCTAACAATAGATCAGGGACTTATTTCTACCTCAGGATCTACTTATGTACAATTCTCCCCCTTAACTTCTTTTTAAAATATGAAATAACTTATTATTTAAGCTCCAAACCAAGATGCTATGGGTGT